GAGGAACATGGGGCAGGGAGAGGGGCAAGTCACAAGAGGAGGGATGGTGCAATCTCAGCTTATTTGATTTGTTATCAGAAGTCACCAGCCGCTGCTCCAGCTTGACCCTGGTAGAGCGCAGGACTGCAGCCATGGGTCCTACGTCAAGCCTGTAACTTGGCGGTATATTGCAGGATGTCTTTTAGAAAACATTCCTGTCTGCAGTAAATTCTCCAGGAGGCTGTTACCTCCCTGGCCATCTGGTCCTGCCAGAGGAAAGAAGAGCAGGGTTGTTGATCTGTCTGAGTTGTGAAAACCATAATGAGCAAAACACCATTAGGAAATGACAGCCCCATGATCTTTTCTGGTAGCCTACATGAAAAGATGGATGGCAACGCGATCCCTGCCAATGCGTGGAAGAGGCAGAAGAGCCTCAGCAGGCTCCCTCCAAAAAGCAGGAGAAAAATTAGATCAAAGTGACCCCCATCACCCCTAAAGATGGGGGGACGGTGCCATGGATTCAGTGTTACGGCATCTGATTCCTGTCTGGTGCCCTGAGAGGGTGAACTGCTCCATCTAAAGTTGGAGGTGTTTCTAGGGGTGGTGGGTGGGGTCCAGAAGAGTCCAGGGGTATGGGAAGTTGGTCCCTTTATTCGGTGTAATGGCTCCCAGATCTTCTCCCTCCACCCCAAATCAAACAGAAATGCACAAATGAAACTTGCACCTTCCCAAACAATGTTAACTTAAAATGGTACTAATTAGCACTCCCCTAAATGGCAGTGATTAGTTTACCAGCTGATGGAATATTTACTCTAGATTTTTTTTTAAACCCAACACAACACAAACACAAAACACTATTTATTTATTTATTTATTTATTTTAGCGGGAGCTGAAACTGGAGTGGCTCTTCTACCGAAAAAACAGATTAAAGCACAGGAAACACAGCTTGCAAGAACAGGCAGGCACTTCGAAAGCCATTTGCAACACCAAGTTAACAAATAACGCCGGCCTTGAAGTATGATAAATTAACAATTTTAAAATAATACAACTTTCCCCTGTCGCCTTGCGAGAGCAGATTTTCTGTGATGCTCCGCCAGCTCTTCTCCACATCATCGCTTTTGCTAAACTGGTAAGTTCCAGTTTGGTCATAAATTGCTCGATGTCAGACGTGCAGTAAAACGGAGGTGACGGGCATCCCTCGCCTGTCCCTGCCCTGGTGTTTTGGAAGGCGAATCCTTTATAGAGCTCCGGAAACCTCCGCTCCCATCGCTAATCCGCGCCTGCCTCCCCTTGGACAGGCCTGGCCACTTCCTTTCCCAACAAACCTCCTTTTTTCCCCCCCTCTTCCCTGCTTGTTTGCTTTTCAGAAAGCTGATTCAGCCTTAAAGCCAAGCGGGTTGCAACGCCCGGCAGCGGCGTTTTGCATTCTGCCCCCACTGCCTGGGAGAAAGGCGAATAAACTGCGATGTAATCACTCGTTTGCAGCCAAGATGAGCCCTTATTATTTTTTTTTTTTCCTTTTTTTTTCTTGCACAGTCTAGCCTTAGAAAGGCGAGGGGGAACAACATTTAACAGGGAGCTGCTTGGGCACCTGGGGTTGCGTTTCACAGACGGTATCCATATTTGATCAGCCCTGAATGAGGGGGCAAGTGGTGTCGGGGGCCAGGCTCCCTTCCTGGGGGGATTTGCAGGGGTCCCCACAGTGAGGGGGTGGGCAGGGATGGTGTGTTAGGGGGGTGCTGGGGTGCCCTTGCATCCTCCCTTGGGGGCATGAGGGTGGTTTTGGGAGCAAGGTGCTCCTGGCTGTGGATGGTGGAGACTGGAGAAGGGGTGAAGAAATGGAGGGGGTACATGTGTGTGCATGGACACCCTGCCTGCACCCCCTCTCTGGGGACACCCGGGTGGAGGGCAGGTCAACCTCTGCTCCCCTGAGGGGGAAATGCCCCCAGGCCTGCCCTGACCCCCCCTTCTGCTTACAGCTCCCCATGCCTGCCCTGATCCCCAGACCTATCTGCACCCCAAGGCTGCATCTGACTCCACCTTGTGC